TTAATATCCAGATTACATATATATATTAAAAAAGAGTTATATCTATTTAATAAATAAAAATCATTTATTTACCAATTCTAACTGTATAATTATAAAGTTATTATATATCCATCAATCAAAATAAATTTATCTACCAAAATACATTATAAAGTTATTATTATTATTATTATTATTATTATTATTATTATTATTATTATTGTATATATAAATGCTAGCTAGACATTTAAAACCTATTTAATTTTACCTATGTGGCAATATAACTATTTACCTCCAAAAACTGTTACTTCTGATTAACCTTTCATTTGATTATTAGATAATCACCATACTAATCACTTCAAAATTACAACAATAATTTCAACTTTTGATTACTGACAGTTGGTTATATAATGTGGTGACCGTATAATATGATTAGATGTTATTAATCTAGTTACATTTAAATTAACTTATTTTTTTAAAAACAAAAAATGTATTTGAAACTCCTAAATAAATATTAAATAATTCACAAAAAAATACATATCAAGATGTACATTACATCCAAACTCATAACACAATTTAAAAAAAAAATAATAATATTTCAGTTCCTTTAATTGTAAATTTAGCCTGCAAAAAAAGTGAAAGAAAAATCATTAAAACATTATATATTTTATATTTTCAATTATTTTACATTTTCAAATAAAAAATGAAAGCTGCAATAATTATTTTATATTTTCAATTATTATTTTCATCTAATTCATAAATCTTACGTGGCAAACTTTTTGGCCCTACATAAATTATGTAGTATATTTTGATTGTCCAAGCAACATAATATTTCATAAAAATAGTCAATGTCTAACATAATATGAATTCATAAAAGCAATCAATATCCAAGCAACAATTAATGTCAAATCACTATATGAAAAATCAATAAAAAAAATTAATTAATTATAATAATAAAATGAAGATAGTATGTTTCCTTCGGTTACATAACACCATCCACGATATTATGCAAAACTTAATACATATTTACCACCAAAATATTCACAATTAAAAAAAGTATTTGGCGGGTAGAATATTCACGTCACAAAATATCAGTTTTGAATTTTTTCAGCAGAATCATGGAATTAAATATCATATAATTATCAATCAAATACGTTTTTATGCTTATATATATATATAGATATATATAATTGCTAGCTAAATACTAAATTTTATCTCATAAATTTTACCTACGTGGCAATTTTCCTAACATAAAAACCTTTACAAGCCATTATTATTATTATTATTATTATTATTATTATTATTATTATTATTATTATTATTATTATTATTATTATTGTTGTTGTTGTTGTTGTTGTTGTTGTTGTTATTATTATTATTATAACATTAATCCTTATTATTATTATTATAACATTAATTCACCTTATTCCATAGCGACAAAATATTTCCTTGCATTTTTTTTGGTTAATTAAGACAAAAACAGTTACATTATATTAATTGAGTAATAATTATATTTTTTATCGTATCATATAATAGTTATTATTAAAATTAATGATTATATTTTACACTAAATTATATGAAAAGTTACATAAACATAAGAGTTATATTATAAAAACATTTTGCAAGTTATTTATTTAAAATCAATATTACATTTTTTATCTGATCAAACAATTGTTGTTTAAGCAAATTAATTTGTTTTAATGTCATATAAAATTTCTTAAAATCACATAAGCAATTGTTATAATAAATTTAATATTTCACTACCAATTAAATTACAAAAATTACATTATTTGTTACCGGTAGAAGAACACTAATTAAGAGATACCTAACCAAGATTGCGAGTTACGTCCCTAGCCCGCCTCATTCTATTACTGCCCCATCGACTGGTATCGGCCGAAGGCAGAACATTTGCAAGGTACGACGCGATGGTTGTAGCCTTGGCCGCCGTGGCAAGGGAGCAGGGAGGCACAACAAGTGTATCCTCATCGATCTAGATTTTCTTCCCCTGGGAATCATAGCCGACCAGTGTATTCTTTTTGCTGGCCACTAGAGAGGTCGTATTCTCAATGAATAATTATATTTATATTTATAAATAAATATTAAATTATCTATTGATTTTAATTGAAAAAAAAAATAAAATACTTAGCTATTGAATAAATTTATCAATGAAGTAGTTATATCATATAAGCTAAAAGAAATATTATAATATAAGATGAGTAAGTATTATATGTGAGGATGTCATTTTAAATATAAACAATAATAGTAAGAATATATTTTTGAAAAAAGCATATAATTTTAAAATAAACTTCTTTTATTATTTTTTTTAAATTTAAGTACAAATCCTTTAACAAGCACTCATGTAATACAAGAGTATTATACTAGTAAGTATATATAATAACATAAGTAAAAGAATGACATTTAATAATATAAATATGCACTTGCTCAAATAATATTATAAATTGACCTCACCAAAAAATTCATGCTTTTAACTAGTAGGGCTGAGCATGGAACTCGGAGAATTCCGAACCATTCTGAAAGCCGAACAGAACTCACTCCGAACCNTTGTTATAAAAAAGAATTTTTTAAAAATGGCATAAAAGGTTAAAGAATATTTTGTAAGAAAAAACTATATTATATTTTGTTTGAATTTTAAATTTTCAATATTAGTTGCATAAATTTAGTTTTAGCTAAAATTTGGAGTTACTTATAAAGTTAATTTAAAAAAAAAAAAATTAATATGAGGAAGTATTGGTGGTTTTTTAAAATCACATAAAAATTAAATAACTATAACGATAGTATATTCAAATTATTTTTCTAAAATTAAAAAACCCTCCCCCCTCAAAAGTCGGGTGTGTGTGCCGGCTGTGGGAAGGGCGTGGTTCTAGTTCGTGTAGGCCCTAGTTTGTGTTTAGGTTGTTCTGTTTTGTTTGTTTGTTGTGTTTTGCTTTGATTGTCTTTTCGATTTTTCTCTCCCGGTGGGAGTATCTTTGGTGTATTCTCCTCTTGGGAGTTTTTTTATTTTATTCTCATTTTGGGAATTTTTGTGTTTGTGTTGTAAGTTGACTCTAGGCTGTCGTTTGTCTGTACGTGTAATCTTCCATGCTAGAGTCAGCTGTTCAGCTTATTCAGTCGTTGGTTGATTTATTCGGCTGAGTGGTTGTTCTCTAGTTTTGTTGATGTTGTGAATATATGTGATTCCTATAGTTTCGAAAAAAAAAATTAAATAACTAACTTCAAAAGTTGATTTCAAAGTAAAATCTTCAATATGATAAAGTATTGATAAATGTTGTTTTTTTTTAAAGCATATAAATATTAAAATATAACTAGATAGTCATTCAAAAAAAATTAGAAAAATAAAAAATCTCTGAAGATCCAAACCGAACCATACCGAACCGAACAGTTTCGATAGTCCAAAAAATCGAACCGAACCGATCCGAACCGAATTGAACTGAACTGAAAAACAAAAAATCTCCGAACCGAACCGCCCCGATTTTTTGGTACGATTCCAGAGATTAAATTTAGTGCTCTCCGAATTTTGGTACAATTTCGAAGATTTTTCAATATCCGAACCGTACCGACTCATGTTCACACCTATTAACTAGTTTGATATCCTTCTCTTTCCTTCTCCTCCCCTTAACCGTTATCACCACCTCACTTGATCCTTTACTTTCTTCTTCAAGATCCGCCATTGTCTCCCAAGGAAAAAACCAATGCATTCGGGTTACGAGTTACCCGGTCGCTGGCAACCAGCCGCCGAAAATGACCCGGTTTTGCTATCCATGAAGCAGGCCCAATATTTTCCGGGCCAATTCCTCGACCAGGCCCACAATCTCCCGCCGCAAACCGGGCTGAGCCACCACTATATTGGCGGCGGACAAAATCCAGCGTATTTCCCGGCCGTGAATTTCAATCTAGGGCTGAATGAGATTTGCTTGAGAAACAATGATTGCAATAATAACAACAATATTAATCATGAAGAGGTGGATAATTATAATATGATCCATGGGAGTAAGCTCCATTGCTGGCAAAATCAATCAGATTCGCCGCCGTCCATTGTTGAACAACCATTATCCTTTTGGTATTCTTCTCTTAATCTCTAATCTTATATTATTATTACTTAATTACTAGCACATAATCTTTTTTCTCATAATTTTCTCATAAGCATCTTTATTTTTGTTTTTATTTTTAGTTTACAATTTCCATCTGGCTAACGAATGCACTAAAAACACCTTGTATAAATGTACTCTTTGTTCTGTTATTTATTCGAAAAAAATACTTTCTAGTGTAAAATAACTAATTCGTGGTTGAGTAAGAACATGTATCATGTCCGAAATGTTGAATTAGTACTAAACTTTTACTTACTATTTCCGTCAGCCACTGAATTAATTATTAGAAATGTAGAGCATGTTTGTTTATAAAATTTTTCAAAAAAATTTCAACATTTTAACTTAACCACTTTTCATAACTCAACTTTAACTCAATCCCATTATCATCAATATTATCAATATAATTAAATAATATCAATCAATCAGTCATACACACCACATCAACCTTAATTCACTATTCATCCACTCACATTATTTTAACTAACTATCACTTCAAATCATCTGTCTCATACTTTTACATCAAATCAATTTTAATTATTTTATTTTAAATATTATTTTAATATACCCACTAACACCTAACCATATCATATTTTTCAAAATTAACCAAACCAAACCAAAAATCTAAACAAAACCAAAAATTTCCATAAACAAACATGCTCGTATTGTCCGTAGGGAACACCTCTCAATTCCCAAGGAGAATAGTGAAATAGTGGAAATGAACCACAAAGAACAAGAGCCCGATCACCACCTAAGGACCTGTTTGGATGACGCCAAAAGCAAAACCCACTTTGGCGAGCTGGAGGCCATATACGCACCACTAGGCACAGCTGAGGTCAACCAAACAAGCCCTTGCGAAAAAACCGATAGTCTGCCCGGGACCGCTGCCCGACCGCCCGAATCTAGGAAAAAGTGGAAAAAGAATGCGCGGGAAAATAATGGGCGTGTGATTAGCCCGATGGTGGAGTTTTTCGAGAGCTTGTTGAGGCAAGTGGTGGAGCACCAGGAGAAAATGCACCGGAAGTTGGGGGAGGTGCTCGAGAGGATGGAGGAGGAGAGGGTGGCTCGGGAGGAGGACTGGCGGAGGCAGGAGCTGGCGCGCCTCGAGCAGGAGTCGAAGGCGAGGGCCCGAGAGAAGGCACGCGCGAGGGATCGGGAGGCCGTGATCGTCTCGTATTTGGAGAAGATCACGGGCGAGAGGGTTGGGATTTGTTCGGATCCCGAACCGATGGAGATTGGCATCCCCACCGACGATGTCGGTCGTGATGACTTGGGATGAATGTTTTTTAGGATTGATAACTGTTTTGTTATGTTTATCTAACTGTTAGGTCAATGTACTTTTCATAATTTCGTTAGCAATGTCATCATTTGAAAAATAGCATAAATATTGATTTGGATACCACACCAGATAGTGTAAACTCAATAAACAAGCTGACTAGGCCGAGCGAACCATTACTAATAGCATTTTGAATGAGAATTCATGTTTTAGTCAAGTGCATGTTTTGCAGTTAATTTATTTATGCCAATATTGTTCGTTTATTTTACATTGTGGATAATATGGGTCCGTGTGAGGAACAATAATATCATATTATCGGTGCCTTGTAAAATATAAATGATGGTTCAAAGTCTAGACGGGAATTAAATTCTCTAGTCGTGAAATACTGTAGTGTGAATCTTGGAATTAGTTGATTTTAAAATAATGAATTACACTAGTACATCTAGCATGTATTGAACGACCAACAGGAGGATAAGATTATTTTATACTGATCAAGTAAATAATTTAGACCTCATTATTTGTTGTGTAGTCTTAACCCGTAAGACAATGTACGGACATATGTAGTCAACACTTACTTATTTGAGGGACCTTGTCGACTCGGCCATTGATCTAGCCGTAGCAATTCGGTTTGACTCGTCCATTATATATAAATATTTATGCCGATGTAGAAAATTAAAATAAATTAGCGGTTTATCTAGCAATGAGATGTTTGAACCAATGACCCAAAAGTAGGGTTGTAAATAAATCCAATATTTTTTATTTGATTTGCTATTCAAATTCGGCATTCATGATTTGTATTCGTAAAAATTTGAATAAGAATAGTGTTTAGTATTCGAAATTATTTCAATTCGAATCTAAATATGCACATATTTGATTCAAAATTATCGAATATTTGATCATTAATAATAATTATATATAACTTATTATGTTATATAATATTAAGATTTGATTTATATAATACATATATATACAAATATATAACACAAAAATTATATTTATATTTAAAAAGGCCTATTTAATCCATCTAAAAAATATAGTTATATTTAAAGATATTATTATGTTCAAAAAAATATATTTTAAAAATATATAAATATATTATATATTTATAAATAATTTCTGAAAACGAATTTCGAATAATATATTCGATTATCTTAACTGAATGGAATATGAATTACAAATTAAATTTGATAACGAATCGAATACGAATATGAATAGTCGAATATTTTCACGAATTTGAATCGAATAGTTGAGTATTTGTTTCGATTCGATTTGTTTACAACACTATTCGAAAGTGGGGCTACAAACGAGTCGAACTTGAACTTAGTTCAATCGAACAAATTAGTCAAGCCTCGAGTATCATTTCAAAATATTTCTAAGTTTGAAGTGCCGCTCGACTTTTTATTTACGTAAATACCTCATATAGTTTAATTATCAATATTAAAACTTCAAGGTCAAAATCGTCTATTGAGACTAACAATTTATCATATTGTAGTTTTAAAATTAGAGCCAAACTCGAGGCATGTGGAGCATTGAGTCGATCTCGAGCATTCTCATTTGTTTCACGAGTCTAAACGAACAACATTTAACATGGCTCATCGAGCTCGAGCAATTAATAGAAAAAAAAAAAGTTCGATCGACCTAAACTGGTCATAGTCCATTCTCGACTCGACTCGACTCGACTCGACTCATTTACAACCTTACCTAAAATGCCAATTCAGGTTAATTACGAGGCCGTATTATAAAACATTTTGTGAAAAGTATTATTGTAGGCATAGGTACGTAGTAATTAAGATAGATAATGAAATTGAAGGGCTGCAAGTTTTCCGGCACGGTGACATGACCAAAAAGTCCTTTGGTCTTTCAGAAAAAGTTGCTCTACGATCAGAATTCAGAGGCTGGGCCCCACTTTTCGCTAGTTTTTGTGAATTAAAGGCAGCACAAAGAGACAAGAGTCCATAAATGTGTTTCTGTATTCTGCATGTCCAGTGCGTGTGCGTGTTGATATGTTTTGTCCTCTCAGCGAGTTTTGGGCTATTATATTTTCTAGACTCCCAAACAACAACATATACACGTGCAGTTTGTCTTTACAGAATTTAATTTATGGTCCATAAGGCTCCCATCTTTTTAAATGTTGATGTTGATCTTTACCAAAGGACAAATTAATATGACATTCTGACATAAGTGGCGTGACATGAAATTGATTTTTTCAAGTNAAGAATGATGTATACAGTTTGATTTTTTGAAAATTTTGAAAAGTTTAAAATATTTATTTTCAAAAAGTGTCAAAAAGTGATGAAATATTCAATTTATTTAAATCACATACAAAATTTCACCTTTAGACCTAAAATTTTACCCAAATAAATTATATATTTATAAATCTAAAAATTTTAGAAATTATTAAAATATCACTCAGAATCTTAGACGCCCTACCTAGTTCATTAATTTAATATAATTCTCAATATTGTTCACTAATTTTTGGATATTCAATTTGGGTGATCAACTCATGATGTTTAGGGTATGTAATTACATTTCATATACGAAACTGTCATTGTTTTATACTAATGGATTCAGGGCTATTTGTGTGGATGCGTGGTTCATTTTTCATTTATTGAATATGAAGCAATTCTAAAGTCTTTTGTTAAAGCTTTTTTTTTCTAATCAATATATATACCGAAAATTTATATATATTATTATATTTCGTCATTTTTTACTCCATTTTTTTAAAATATTCCATATGTATACCACTTTTGTAAGAAAATATATATTAGTATGAGTCTTTTGCCGTTATATACATATAAATATTTTTAGGTTTTCATTCATATCTATAAATCTATTTACGCTTGATCTTTTTATTTTGATACATTGTATTTTTAATCAACCATGGTAAACAAATTAATACTCAAGTAATAATACGTATTGCAGTTGATGATCTTAACTACGTTTTCTTCTTTGATTTGTTGCCAGCACCATCACTTTCACTTCCCTCTGCTTCTGCTGAGACATCTTGGAATGATAACAGAGAACTACTATGCTCGATGGAAAAGAGTAATTTTTAAACTACACACGTCATTTAATTCATTTTTTCTTTTATTACATTGTTTGTAAAACAACTCTCAACTTGCACAACTGTTTTACATTTAGATTTACTCCATATGACACTTCTAATACAATTTCAGCCATCATCAAATCCAAATATGAGAAATCATGGACCGGATGGAATCAAATCCCAAAAAATATAAGAATTTTGTGGTTAGAGTTTAAGATAAATTGATTGATTTATCAAGTTTTATTTATTTATTTAAATTTTTTTTTACCCTTTAATGCATAAGCCTTCTTTAATATTTTGCACTATGTTCAAAATAAACCTATGTACAAGGAGTTTTTAGTTGGGATCCAACGCACAACCGGGCCATTAAGAAGATATGGAAAAACAAATATGCAACGTATGTGTGTCAAAGCTTGAGTGACATTCGTAGAGACAAATCGGGCCATTAAGAAGATATTCAGGTTCTTGTGTGATTGACGTCCATAAGCTTAACGATCGTGCATTGGAGCAGCAAAATGTGTAGTTAGAGAGCGAATCGTCCTCACTTTGCAGCCTAATCGAGAAACTTCACAACACTAATCACGAAGTGTCTTCTTCAACAATGCCTCCAACTAATCATGACGATGATTGCAGGGCTGAGGAGGAATTTGGAAATGATTATGACGTTTTTAGGAGCTTTTATTTAATGTCATAACATTTTCATAAAAACATGTTTTGGAGAATGATGATTATTACTGACCTGAATATGATAATGCTTTTGACATTTAGGATTTATCCATATATTGTTATGTTCACCTAAAGATACTAGTTTAATGGTTTGGAGCTGGTATTTATCTATTGGGATTTGCTTTTGTGTACGGTTATATCTTTTTTTTCTTGGTTATTAGGTTTTTATATCCCTCCCTATATATTAATTCAAAACGTGTTGAGTCTAAGTGTCAGACTCACATGCTTCGGATGCTGACATGGCAAAAATATATGCTTCGAAATGTTGTTTGTATATTAATTTTTTGTTTTGGAATTAGGCTTGATATAGACATAAATATTTTTTGTCAAATTTGGTAAGTGTACATTTAATTTTGTTATTTGTTTTTCTCTTAGTACAAATTTCTTTCATAATTTGTGCAAGTAATAATCTTAACATCTTTATAATTTTCTATCATATTTCTCTCCTAAATTACGATTTAATATTTACAAATCACTTTTTCCACTGTATATTTCTCTTTTTTTTTCATTAATTAGTTCATCACAATTTTTAAATAAAATTTTTATTTAGTAATAAATTTTATAATATATTTTTTAACTCAACTCCCATGTAGTACACGAGTATTATACTAATTGCTTTTATGGTTGGAGCTGGTATTTATCTATTAAAATTTGCTTTTGTGTACGACTATATCTTTCTTTTCTTGGTAAATTAGGTTTTTATATTGCTTTTATTCAGATTTTAGAATTTAGGGATGTATGATTTTATTAAGTACAAATTCCTACGGAATCCAACAGTATTTTTCCGTTGAGTTTTGTCACGTTTCTTTTACAACCGTAGGAAGAACCAATGGAATCAATTCCAACGGCCTTGGGAACAAGTGATGGAATAAGTGTTGGATTATATTCCCATAGCTGAGAAATTCCAACAAAAATTTTTCGTTGGAACGACTATAGGAATTTATTTCCATAAGATTTATGTCGGATTTTAACTATTCCGACGGCAGTTTTTCCTACGGATTTTTATACGTAGGAATATCCCGTTGGAATGGCTATTCCAACATAAAGTATAAGAGAATTTCAACAGAAATTTTCCGTTTCAATGTAACAGTTCTTTTGTAGTGTGGGATCCAGACCAGTCTCCTTCTATTTTTTTTTTTTTTTAAAAAAAATAGATCTAATTTCAAGTGAAGCAATCAGGTAGAATTTTGGGCCTTGGCCCATTCTACTTCTAAAAAAATAAATAAATAGACCTAATTAGCCCAATTTAAACCCAATAAGCAGCCCGATTAGACCCAGTTTGAATAAACGTGACTCACTTTCTCTTTTCGAATATTCTACATGCGCCCATGTTCTCTAAGCTCCGTAAGTGCATAACAGAAATAGGCACCGCAGTCTGCACAAGGCGCGACTTCGTCTCGGTCCCGCCCGACCGCCGATTTTTTTCTCGCCCATCTCTATTTATATCTCGTAGGTGGTTTCGTACTTTGTTGTTCTTAATTCTTATTCTTTTTTTTTTTTCTTAATTTTTCCCTAACTGACTAATATTGTACCTAAACATGAGTCTCTCTTCGCGTGTGCGTGTGTGTGTGTGCGCGTTTGCAAAGTTCATTAATTTTATTTCTTCCATTTCATGTTGAGCTATTGAATGTAAATGATTTAATTATGTTTTGTTTTCTTGCTTTTGGAACTTGGTTAAATTTTGAATTCAATAAACTTGAGCGAAATTTTGCAATCAAGACAGCAGGGTCATTTTGTGACTTATCAAAATTCTGTCTTTTTCTTTAGTTTAATCTGCTATGTGACTGTGAGGCTATGATTGTGAGTCTCAATTTGTATGTTAATTGCTTTGATAAAATTGTTATTTTCTTGTTTAGGTTCATTTGTCAAATGGATGCTTAAGGAAAACTATGTTTGCATTTTTAAGCCCTGAAAGAGTTATATTTTTTGCAATGGAGTTCAAAAATTAATATAAGTGAAGATATATTCTTGCAAACATGAGAAATAAAAAGGGAAGTTATTTTATTTATATTTATATTTATATATTCGAATATATTTATATTTATATTTATATATTCGATTTATATACATATATATTAGATTTGCATGATCTTATTATGGATATATTTTGTAGGAAATCATATAAGAAGGAAAGATCTTTGGAAAGAGAAGATAGAGATCTACACCTACCATATCTCTTTGGATAAACTTGGAAGGAAATAAAAAACAAAAGAGTCCTATACTTGGAGAAGACTCCAACCCTAAGGAGGCTGTATATATACCCACTTAAAGCTCGAATTTGGAGAGCTGAGAGATCATATTCTATTCCGAGCTGCAAGCCTTTTGGTGTTTTATTTTCGTTGGTCAGTTTGCGGTGTTTTTACGTCATCGAAGAACTGAAGTCTGTTTTGTTTTCTTTTCTTTGTTTTTCATTCAAACACTTGTGTGATCAGTGCTTAGGGATTAAGTACTGTCTTTAGCTCGAGGGATTCGAGAGGTAAAGTCCACGGGACGTGGTCGGAGAAGTAGTTGATAGAATCGTGTGTAGTTGTGGCTAGGCTAGAAGGGAGTTCGAGTTGTGTAAGTCCAAACTATACAAGTGTGCACAAACGGTTTATCAATGAAAGAACTCTGAGGGGAAGTGGGACGCTTCCCTGAAGAGTTTTTTAAATCTTCGGTTTATTGCTTCCGCTATTCTAGTTGTTTATTTGTATTCTAACAACGTTGAGCGCACTCGTTACAAAATACCTACGTTTCAATTGGCACCAGAGCAGTGTTCCTATTCTACTTACAGGATAAAGATCTTTGGGTCCTTGGGTTGGTCACCATGATTCACGACGGCATGTCCGTTTCGCGCCCTCCGTACCTTGACGGTTCTAACTATGGATACTGGAAATCCACGATGGTGATATTTATTCGCTCTTTGGGTAAAGGTACCTGGCAAGTCATTGAGTCAGGCTGGACCACACCACACATGCCGAAAGCTCCCTCGGAATCAAAGTCATCAACCTCGGCTGCTCATGTTCTAGTCGAGAAACCAAGGGATCTTTGGACTGATGTTGAAAGACAAGCAGAAGAAGCAAACTTTCGTGCATTATATGCTATCATGGCTGCTGTGGATCCAACTCGCCATAAGATGATTATTCAGTGCACCACAGCTCGTGACGCATGGAAGATTCTTGAGAGGCAATTTGAGGGTACCAACGCCGTGAAGTCTTCTAAGCTCCAAATGATTACCACGGAGTTCGACACTATTCGCATGAAGGATGATGAAAATATTGATAGGTACTATGCATGCTTTTGTGATCTCGTTAACCAAAGTGCCATGCTTGGTGAGGAAATTTCTAAGGCGAGGCAAGTGCAAAAGATCATGAGGACCCTTGCCAAACGATTCCGTGAAAAGATCACCGCACTTGAGAGCTTTCAGCGAGTCGAGCCTCTTGGTCTTGATGACTTACTTGGAGAATTTCGAACCTTTGAAATCAATCGTGGTTATAATAAGATGGGAATAAGCAAAGGCCTAGCCCTGAAAGCCAATGTTCCAACACAGGCTGAAGACGAAGAGGATTCTGATGATGAATCTCTTGATGCTGAAAGTATTACTAAGGCTTTGGATGTTCTTACACGCCACTTCTCTCAGTTAAAGAAGAAAAAGGAGTTCCAAGGGAAGAAGCCTACTGACTTCAGTAAGAACATCAATCAGCAGTCTGGTGAACGACGTTCCAACTCACATAATCAGAAGACTCAGAATCAGGACGTAGAGAATAATCGATGCCGTGAATGCAAGGGATTTGGACACTTCCAGAAAGACTGTCCGAATTTCACGAGGAAGAACAAAACCTATCGAGCCACGTGGGATGATGATGAAGACGATGATGACCAGCAACACACGAACAAATTTTCCGTCACTTCTCTCAATAACTTCACGTGTTATACAGCCTCTCATAAGCCTTGTGATGCCGATTCAGGTATGTGTTCTTACACGTATAATTCTCATAGTGATTCTGATGATTCTGGAGATGGTTCTGTTGAAGTAGATTTGGCTACCCATAAGCTTGCATTAGAGACGAGCATCAAAGCTGGAAAAATGGTGAAAAAGCTACAAGCTCAAGTCGAGGTGTTCCAACATCGTTCTGCAGAGCATGAGAAGGAGATCACCTACTTGAAGGATGAACTTCAGAAAACTCGCATGATGAATGACGAACTGAATGATAAGCTGACCAGATCTGATGTTCATACCAGCAAGGAGGAACATAAGCTGGACAAATTTGTTGCCAAAATCACGATGTTCGAACATGAACAGAAGTTGTCCAAGCAGGTATGTGATGAAAAGGTTTTTATCATTGAGTCTCTACGTAATGAAATGTTTGTCTTGCAGAAAACTATAGATGAAAGGGAAACCGAGATTGTTGCACTCAAAAGAGAACTCGGTCGAGTGATGGAAGAACATGTAACGCTCAAGAGTTATTGTTCTGCAATCGAAGAGATACTCAGCAAGAGTGAGGAGATTGTCAGGATGATCATCAAGCCCAAGTCCTCATTTGCTGAAGTGCAAAGGATGAGTCAACAAATAGGTACCTCAGACCAGAGTAAGAACGCTCATGATCAGAAACTGAAAGGTAAAGTAGGCGAACCTAGCACATCTCTGAGTAAGTCAGACCTGACCTTTGTCAAAGAAGGTTACAACATTGATGGTAAGAATGGTAAGCCTAACTCTACTAAAACTCGGCGTAAGAATTCTGGTAAGAACTTTGTGCCTGTTTGTCACTATTGTGGTATCCGTGGTCATATTCGCCCTATGTGTTATAGGATGCATAATGATATTTATACTGGTCGAATTGATGAATGGAGTCCACATGGTGTGCCCTTGAAAGCACCTAAACTAAAGGTTGATGTGGTTAATCATGAACATAAAAAGATTTGGGTTCCTAAAGGCAGTAAGAACGTGTGCTTATCTTC